ATATACATGTAGTCATAACTTTACCACAACAATAAAACACCACAACGGCATTAACATTATGTAAATAAGATAATAAGTATCTGCTTCTTGCATGAAAGTGTGAAATTTAAGCCTGGGGAGAGTTGGGTAGGAGAAAGGCTTAAAAATGGACTTCAAATATAGCAGAAGCATTTCTAGCATGCTAAGCAGACAAACCTTTTAGTAAAAAAAAAAGTGAAAAGAGATTAATTCAGCGATATGCAAAGACAGAAACCTAGATAGAATTGAGACAATTGGTGTAATGACTTATGTGCAGAAGCAGAATAATAAAATCTGGTGTGAGAGCAGAAAAAAAGCGCAAGACAGATCTATGACCCTCTAATTAAAAGTAGCGTAACACAAACTGATCCTCACACTCCAACACACTGATGCACTCCATTAGTCATTGCTATCAGAATATGAATATAAAAACCAGCAGGAGCAAAAATAACTGAGGAAAGCAACCATTCAGTATTTCTATCCTCTTTCATGCTCACTCTCAATTTGCATAAATATGAAGAGTTTAAAATGCCAGGGTGAAAGAGGACTACCTGATGAGCTTATGCAGGTTAGCATCTTGTCAGCTAAATTGATTAACCTGTCAGTGAACATATGCCATCAGATGATGCTGTGCCTGGGAGACGAGCTGTAACTGGAAGATAGCCGAACGCGTTTGGTTTATGGAAATATTTGGAAACTCTCTGCTGGGGAAAATAGAGAACAGAACCTGTTGCTGACGTTACAGAACTTGCTCCAGGAAGAGATTCGGGCCCCTTGAGAAGAGTTTGAGATTGTGACCCTTCTCAGAGACGGTTTCCGTTTGAAGTTAGCGCTAATACCAGCAGTGGAAGTAATACTTTCTAGGTAGTTCCTGAAAGGTGGCTTAAGAGTTGTGTTGAAGACCCTTGTCTCTGATAAATAAAATAATGATGAAATGTGGATCGAACCCAACACATCCCTGCTAAAAAGTAGCACAAAAGAAACGTGCAGATAGAATCACAATGTTTTATAGACCTCTCAAATTTGGATTATGAGGCGTAATCATTCAGCCATAATGCTAAAATAATGCAAAAAGGAACATTAAACTAGTTTTGTATTTTAATTAATAATGTGATGTTTGAAGTCTTTACCTTTCTTAATTAATTTTTTATTGGCATGACAACAATCATCCGTTTTAGTAATTGCTGCCCAGTTTTAATTTGGTGATGAGTTGCGAGTTCAGAAGTGAAAGGAATGTTTTGCACTTTGCTATATGTTTTGTCATTTACTGACATGAATACTGCATGTATATTTGGATCAGTATTGTAGAATTCACAGTAAGGTGTTGTGTACCGAGTGGCGACATTGCTTTAACCATGATGTCATGGTTTTGTTTTGTGTCATTTGTAATTATGAATTACAGCTTATAGCCCTCAAATATCATTACACTTGGGGGTTTTTCCTACTTCCTGTGAAATCTGCTGGCAGAACATATTTTGAATCTCCCAATTGTTAAGCCAAGCACAGTCTTGGCTTAAATTAAACACAGAAGATGCTGACAAAAATGAGAATATTTGTGTTTTGTTATGGAATGCATCTAACTTTTAGGAAAGAGTTCAGTTCTGTTGCTTGCTCTAAATATACTTCCATAATCAATGTTTTTAATGTAACATTTATTAGTCATCTTTAAATAAATTCACTACCAAAATCTTGGATTTCATTTTTTGTCCTTTACAGCTGTCGCTGAAGTTTCTCCATTTAAAAGTATAAAGATAACTTTGATCAAGCATTCTTTATCATCATAAAAAAAAAAGAAAAAAAAAACACACTGGTTTTGAAGCAGCAAAATCCCCCAGGATTAACTGGAACTTTAACCAAGTTCCTCAGAGATGCCAGCAGGAGCCTGCTTGACTTTTTGATGTGGATCACAGGGTCAAGGCAACAGTCAGCCTGCCGGCAAGAGGAGCTTCCACTGTGGAGTCGCAGTTTTTACAGCCCGAAAGTGCTGTGCTCACTGCCATGACAGATAGCTGTGCTACAGAGAGAATCAAATCGAACCTGTTGACATGGATGAAGGGATGTACCTTCTGCAAGACTGAATGTAACACACAAAACAATTGTTTCACACAGGAGCTCTCCAACCACCAACCATGCACTCAGCATCGATGACTCGATGTGCAAGATGTTGCTGGACTGGGTAAACAACAGAGCTGTGAAGCCACAAAAAAATAAAAAATATATCATGAGCGAGTGTTTTATAGAGTCTGGACATCAAAGTCAGTGGATTGAATGCTTCTGTGACAAAGTGAGAGCATGCAGTGTATGGATGGAGGTGGTGGGGGGGTTAGCAACCACAAGCAAGACGCAGTGGAGGAAAAATGTGGCCAGACAAACAGAGAAAAACCGGAGAGAAGACGACACGTAAAGAAAGAGCTGCTTTGCCTGGCTTCACGTCACCTGTTCGCCGCCCTGAGGAATGCCCGTTTCGTTTGATCTCGTGAGGAAAATCACCTGGGAGAAGATAACTGCATAACAGAGCTCAGCGGGACTCCATGCTCTTGTGCAACCCCAACACATTCTCCGCTTTCATCGGCCGAGAGCAAGAAGGAGGGCTGGAACGAAGAGGTGCAGGGGGCTTGGGAAGTGAACAAAAAGCAAAGTATGATTTATGAACACTACTTTTGCTTTTCATCTACAGTATGTCCGCATCCCTGTTGGAGTAAATAATGCTGACTCCTTTGAAGGCCTGTACTTCTTTCCTTTTGCTCATCTCGCACACCAAACCGCAGCGGGATAACCCTTCTCCGTCTCTGCCTCATCCAGTCTCCCTCTTTTCTCTTTAGCCTTGGGATTCATTTGTGCTGACTTCTTAAAAGGCTTTCTGAGTGTCACTTGGACAGAGTGGATGGGCCTAATCGCATTTAACAAAGTGAAGGCAGATCTGCACAGGCGTAAATGGATTGAATGCTTTTTGTCCCGCATTATTTAATCTTTCTAATAATGCCTCTCTGTCATTTTGTGAAATTCTGTCATTTTGTGCGCTTTCAACATTTTCTCCTATTTTGTCTCGCTGGATACATGTTTCATTGAGTGAAACAGTCACTGTAAGCATTTTAATAACATAAGAGGTGAGGAATTAAAGAAAATTAAAAACATGTCACATTGTTTATCCCGTTGTATTCTCTTATTCCAATTTGCATTTGAAATGCTCAGTTTGGTCACAATTAAATCAAATTAGCATTAGAGCTCGATTGGTAAGCCCGCCGAAGTAAAACTGGTTGAGACAAGTTAATGGTATGTTGCTATGACAAGATGATAAATACATCTGTGGAGAATCCCAAGATGTGACCTTTTGCAGACATTTCACATTCAGCCTCAATTCATGGGCAGAAGGTCTTCAACATTACATTTAGTTAAAATAATTTTTTAGTCCACAGATTGTATCAGAACATACATTATTTATGATCAGAAACGGTTTATCTTGACATTTTTTGAAAATATATAAGTAATACCCTCTTTTTAAAAAATTATGGGTCTCTTTTTTAAAGTGACCCATAATTAGTTCATTATCAGAAACAACTTTTAGAGTTTTTAAACCGAATGATAATTTTTTTTTGATTGAAGATCTTAATTTGACTTCTGCTTTCAAGCAGAAAGATATTTCTATCAAGGGTGGGGGGATAGTTATTCTGAAATGTAATCAACAGGGTTTGAAAAAAAGGGAATAGATTTTTCATAACAGCTGTCAAATATTGAAGAGCCCCTTATATTAAAAATGAATATAGCATCTCAAATCATCTCTTAATTTTCTTCAATTTATTAGATGAAAACAGATCATTTAACAGTGATATGTTTGGGTTTCAGATATGCAACTTGTAAATCATCAATTTAAGATGTTTGTTTACGCAATTAGGTCCATACATTATGTAGCAATATACAGTGTTGTCTGCGAAGGGCTTGTCATTTTTGGAACACAATGATTGCTAAAAACCTAATAAATAAATAAAAAATGTAAGCAAAATTTGATGAACTCCATTATTGAATAAATTACTCTGAGTAATTTAAATCCCATTTCTTTGATTTGAGGGATCAGGGAAGGATATTTTTAAACCACCACCACCAACTGATGTTTTCATTTATCCTTTAACTTTACACTCATGAGTTTCCACAACAGCTTAATATGCTCAGTTGGCATTAGTTGGACAGACGACTCCTGTGGTCTGTGATCTCTCAGCAGACGCAGTTAAGAGTGTGATCCTTTCAGCCGTCAAAGCAAAAATCTGTTGCTACCAGTCTGCTAGTGTGTGAACTCCAAGTCTTTTCGAAAATCTGTGAAGATAATGAAAATTGTGCAGCGTCGTCTCAGCTTTAGTCACCAAAAGCGACCTGAAAATTAAACCATTTGAAAATAAATTTAAAATTGTAAAATTTAAATTTAAAAATGTAAAATATGCGAAAAGTCAGATTACAAATAAAACACATTTGAAGTTTATCTGGAGCATCATCTGACAGCTGCACAGCTAACTATATGCTGAAACATATAGTTAGTTATGGTTAGCTCATACATTTTCTTCTTAATGGTCTCAATTTGAACTTTTATAAGGGGGGGATCATTACATACATGTTTTAACTTAATTTACTTTTTGCAGAGCTGGAGAAGCCCACACCAGATTGTTGTCTTTGGTGCGCTTCACAATGGAAATCAATGTGCTGGATGCCTATTAGTATCTGTGAAGTTTGAATCGTTTCATCTAATTCAAGTCAACAAGTAGATCCATGCTAGATTAGTTAAACATTTTTGCTGATAGCTTGCTCCAGTGGGCCAAATGAACAGTTTCTCTCATGTTTGCACAATAACAAAAGGCTGCTTAAATTGACAATTCTTTCTATAAATATCTTTAAGACTTCCTTCAGTTTTTGTTGTAATGCTCCACTATCAATTTAGCCATCTGTGACATGTTGGGTGTTAGCTTTCTGACCCACATGCAGAAACCACACGTCTCTTAGAAAATAGTGAGTATTTATTTTTCAACAGGACACACAATATATCAAACCGCAGGACTTCAGTGAGGGGGTGAGAATGACTCGACCAGGTGGGCCTGAAATGAGAAGCTGTTTAGATGGCTGGGAGTGAACGGATAGATATGAGAGGGAAGTGGAACGGGCTTACTTCACGGTGGTTTGCTGTAGCATGGGGGAGGTGCCAGGATTCTGAGTGGAGGGTAGTTCGGCGGTCCGAAGGTGAGTGCGAGGAGGGGGTGTTCGGAGAACCGGAGGCTTGCAGGAGTGAAGCTGCGGCGGGGAGAGCAACGGAGCAGGCAGGCTGGTGCTCGCAGGAGAACTCACGAGCGGAGAGACAAAAACCCTGGAAGCGGCAAAAATACAAAGGTCAGGTAACTTCTGGTAAGCTCAAACACTATCTTAAGCAACATGCAACAACAGGAGACGACCAGAGTGACTACCGATGAACGTAATCATCTAGCACTGAAGGAAGGATCTGCCGCTCCTAAATCCCCCGCGCGCTCTGATGAGGCAGATGACTTCCACCTGTGCAGACTCCTCCGGCTCCTCACCAAGATCCTCTGGACGAGATGTGACACTCGCACTCACACACATACACTCACACAGAAACCCTGACACTACCCCCCCACTAAAGACCGCCTCCTGGCGGTCGGGAAGAAGACAACCCCGGAGAAGCCTCAAACTCCTTAATGAGACCAGGATCTAAAATAAACGAACGAGGGACCCACGACCTCTCCTCAGGACCATAACCCTGCCAGTCCACCAAATACTGGAACCCCCGCCCACGACGACGAACCGCCAGGATCTTCGAGACGGTATAAGCAGGGTGACCATCAATCTCCCGGGCGGGTGGCGGGGGCTCGGACGGAGGGCAAAGAGGGCTGGAACGGACAGGTTTGATGAGGGACACGTGAAATACTGGGTGAATCCTCAGTCCAACAGGAAGCTTGAGGCGGACCGCTGAAGGACTGAGCACAGAAGTGATCTTGAAAGGACCAATAAAACGAGGGGACAACTTGCGATTCGAAGACTTGAGATTGATATCACGAGTGGAAAGCCAAACCTCCTGTCCAGGTGAGTATGTAGGTGCAGGCCTCCTCTTACGATCCGCCCACCTGCGATTCCCCTCCGCCGTCCGGTTGAGAGCAGCAGAGGTCTGTGCCCAGATGTGCTTGCAGCGGCGGAGATGATGTTGGACCGAGGTGACGGAGGACTGTTGTTCATCAGATGGGAACAGGGGAGGCTGATAACCTAGGGAAGACTCAAAAGGTGATAGACCAGTAGCTGTCGAGGTGTGGCTATTGTGTGCATACTCCACCCATGGTAAGTACAAACTCCAGGTAGTAGGGTGCGAAGAGCAGAGACATCGGAGGGTAGCCTCGAGCTCCTGGTTCAAACGTTCAGTCTGACCATTAGTTTGGGGATGAAACCCAGAACTGAGAACCACTTTAGCCCCTAGAGCAGCACTGAACTCTTTCCAGACCCTGGAAACAAATTGTGGGCCTCTGTCTGACAGGATCTCGGCAGGGATTCCATGCAGGCGGAACACATGCTTTGTAAGGAGATGGGCAGTTTGTATAGCAGAGGGAAGCTTGCGCAAGGGAACTAGGTGACAGGCCTTAGAGAACCGGTCAATGACAGACAGAATAGTAGTAAAGCCCTTGGATGGTGGCAAACCAGTGACAAAGTCTAAAGCTATGTGCGACCATGGGCGTCTTGGAACAGGGAGAGGCTGAAGCAACCCGCTGGGAGGCTGATTACAGTTCTTGTTGCGGGCACAAATGGAACAACCGAGTACATAGTCCTTGACATCTCTATATATTGACGGCCACCAAAAGTTTCGTCTGATTAGGGAGAGTGTTCTGTTAACACCAGGATGACAAGAAAACTTCGCCGTATGGGCCCAGTGAATGAGTCGAGCCCTTACAGACGAAGGAACATAAAGCCGGTTGGGTGGTCCATTACTTGGACCAGGTTCTGATCGTTGCGCCGCCAGGACCTGTTCTCTGATCTCCCAAGAGAGAGCGCCAATGACACATGATGGTGGAATAATAGTGGCAGGTGGAGTCTCAAAATCAGAGGAAAACTGTCTCGAAAGTGCGTCGGGCTTAGTATTCTTGGACCCAGGTCTGTAAGAAATAGTAAAATGGAATCTGGAGAAAAAGAGGGACCAACGAGATTGTCTGGAATTTAATCTTTTCGCTTGTTGAAGATAAGCCAGGTTCTTGTGGTCTGTCCAGACAACAATGGGATGCTCAGCCCCCTCCAGCCAGTGGCGCCATTCATCAAAGGCCATCTTAATGGCCAGAAGCTCCCTGTCGCCTACATCGTAATTCCTCTCAGCAGAAGAGAGGCGACGGGAGAAAAATGCGCAGGGATGCAACTTGTTGTCGCTGGTAGATGTCTGTGACAGGACCGCCCCTACCCTGATTCAGATGCATCTACTTCAACCGTAAACTGTCTTAAGGGATCTGGTTGCATGAGAATGGGTGCTGTGGCAAACCTCCTTTTCAACTCTAGAAAACTCTGTTCAGCAGCTGGTGACCAAACGAAACTAGTCTTGGTGGAAGTCAGACTGGTCAGAGGAAGGACTGTTTGACTATAGTTCTTAATAAAGCGGCGGTAGAAGTTAGCGAAACCAAGGAAACGTTGAAGCTGCTTACGGGATGTGGGCGTTGGCCAGTCCAGGACAGCTTGGACCTTCGCTGGATCAGCCTTCACCTGCCTACTCTCCAACACATAACCGAGAAAGGCGACGGACGAGGCATGGAACTCACATTTCTCCACCTTGACATATAGTTGATTCCCCAACAACCGCTCGAGGACCAGGCGGACATGTCTCACATGTTCCTCTAGGGATCTTGAAAAAATGAGAATATCATCGAGGTAAACAAAGACAAACTGATTCAGAAAGTCCCTAAGGACATCATTAACTAGAGACTGAAACACAGCCGGTGCGTTCATGAGGCCGAATGGCATGACCAAGTACTCAAAATGTCCGAGTGGTGTCCTAAACGCTGTTTTCCACTCGTCCCCCTCTCGCATTCTGACAAGGTGGTAAGCATTTCGGAGGTCCAGCTTGGTGAATATAGTGGCTCCCTGCACTAGTTCAAAGGCTGAGGCAAGTAACGGCAGAGGGTACTTGTTTTTAACTGTGATTTGATTTAAGGCTCTGTAGTCAATACATGGTCTTAGTGTTCCGTCCTTCTTACCCACAAAGAAAAACCCAGCTCCCACAGGTGACGTGGATGATCGGATTATGCCAGCAGCCAGGGACTCACTGATGTACCGCTCCATGCTCTCTCTCTCGGGTTTGGAGATGCTGTACAAACGACTGGTGGGTAGTGGTGCTCCTGGAAGAAGGTCAATTGCACAGTCGTAGGGACGGTGAGGAGGTAGAGAAAGAGCTCGTGACTTACTGAAGACCTTGTGGAGGTCGTGGTATTCAGCCGGTACTCTGGCCAAGTCAGCTGGGGCGGGAATATCTGCAGGTTGCGAGACTATTGGGGAAGAGCAGAGTGAAGACATGATGATAGACAGTATGGGCTCCAGGACTCTACTCGGCTTCTTCTCCAATCCAGCTGTGGATTATGGCGAATGAGCCATGGATAACCCAGAACCACAGGGGACTGAGGTGAGGGAAACACAAAAAAGGTTAGGGTCTCACGATGATTTCCTGACACTACTAGTTCAACTGGAGCAGAGCGATGGGTGATGACTGGTAAGGCTTTACCATCCAAAGCCGCGACCATGACTGGAACTGGAAGGGGAACAATGGGTATACGGAGTTGGTTAACCAGGTTATTGTCAATAAGATTCTGTTCACACCCTGAATCAATTAACACTGATGTCTGGAAGGACCGGCTCCCAGTAATCAGGGAACAAGGTAGTGTTAGACGGGAGACTTTCCTTGAATCGCCCACCACTGCTCCCGTGGCTAATGGTGGGTCTTGTCTTTTGGCAGATTCTGACAAGTGGAGATGAAATGCCCTGTTTGGCCACAGTAGAGGCAGGCTCCAGACCTCATGCGGCGCTGGCGCTCCTCGGGAGTGAGTCTGGTTCGCCCAATTTGCATGGGTTCCTCTACGCTCTGGCTAGCTGGGATGTTATTGGTGTCAGCTCTGTTGGGGCAAAAGCTCGGCTCTCTCCTAGCTCTGGTTCTATCCCTGATCCTGTTATCGATCCTAATTGCCAGAGAAAAGAGCCTCTAACGAGCCAGGCTCATCGCGGTAAGCCAATTCATCCTTTATATTCTCATTCAGGGCCTGCTGAAAGGCTCCTTTTAAAGCCTCGGGGTTCCAACTGGAAGAGGCAGCCAGAGTTCTAAAGTCAATAGCGAAATCAGCTACAGTCCGACGACCCTGCTTTAGGTTCCACAGCTTGCGGGTAATATCTGATGGGGAATCAGTGTACCCGAATGCCTGCTTAAACTCTGCCACAAATGAATCATATGTGCTCTGAAAAATAACCTGCTGTGTCATCCTTGCCTCCGCCCATTCTAGCGCTCTCCCTCTGAGTGATCCAATTACATAGGCGATCTTAGCTGCCTCAGTTTGGAAACTCTGGGGAGAAAAGGAAAAAACTAGAGAGCATTGCAGCAAAAACCCCCTGCATTTACCTATCTCTCCCGAATAGGGCTCAGGTGTGGGTGGTGATACTTCCCTGAGACGAACTGAGACCGGAGGCGTTTGAACCGGAGGAGCTTGTGTGGGTTCAGCTGAAGTGCTGGCGAGAGGTGGAGGCGGAGCTACAACGGGAGACGGAACTGCAGAGACAAATCTTTGGTGAAGATCCTCGAGAATTCCGGATAACTGCTCTAAGCGACGGTTTGTACTTCCTTGCTGTTCATATAAGGCATTTAACATGGAATCATGACGGACCAAAACTGCGTGAGGGTCCGGTGATGGTTCTGCTGGGTCATGCTGGCTAGATGATTCTGACATGTTGGGTGTTAGCTTTCTGACCCACATGCAGAAACCACACGTCTCTTAGAAAATAGTGAGTATTTATTTTTCAACAGGACACACAATATATCAAACCGCAGGACTTCAGTGAGGGGGTGAGAATGACTCGACCAGGTGGGCCTGAAATGAGAAGCTGTTTAGACGGCTGGGAGTGAACGGATAGATTTGAGAGGGAAGTGGAACGGGCTTACTTCACGGTGGTTTGCTGTAGCATGGGGGAGGTGCCAGGATTCTGAGTGGAGGGTAGTTCGGCGGTCCGAAGGTGAGTGCGAGGGGGGTGTTCGGAGAACCGGAGGCTTGCAGGAGTGAAGCTGCGGCGGGGAGAGCAACGGAGCAGGCAGGCTGGTGCTCGCAGGAGAACTCACGAGCGGAGAGACAAAAACCCTGGAAGCGGCAAAAATACAAAGGTCAGGTAACTTCTGGTAAGCTCAAACACTATCTTAAGCAACATGCAACAACAGGAGACGACCAGAGTGACTACCGATGAACGTAATCATCTAGCACTGAAGGAAGGATCTGCCGCTCCTAAATCCCCCGCGCGCTCTGATGAGGCAGATGACTTCCACCTGTGCAGACTCCTCCGGCTCCTCACCAAGATCCTCTCTGGACGAGATGTGACACTCGCACTCACACACATACACTCACACAGAAACCCTGACACTCTGTGTATCAGTCCATACCCTTAATGCTGGCAATAACTACACTCATATAATTTAAAAATAGAAATGTACTGTACCCTTAAGTTAAAAAAAAGGCTGCAAAAAGCACATGCATTAAAAATGAAATAATAATAAAAGTAATTAATGATAATAATAAATAAATAAATACAATGAATTAGCATATCTGCCTTGTTTCATTTTGCTTGGTGCCTGAATTATTTATTTTTTTTCACATATTACAGAAACTGTTACTGCTTTGGAAATATTTACTTATTTTTAAAAGGGCAGGCAGGTGCTTTTGCATTTCAAACAGTGGTTGTTTGCTGTGGTAATTCCCACTTTGCTGCTCGTTTCAGCATGTATGTCCAAACAGCAGCTGAATTTATTGTAACACAAGTCCAAATATAAGAAGCTGGACAGGAAGATTGTGAAGGCAGAATTTTATTTTAGTTTTTAACAGAGCTGTCTTGTGCTAGTATAATAAAAAAGAAGACTCAAGGTGTGCTTGCATTCTTGGCAAGAGGTCTAGCTTAATCCCAGGATGGATTTGAGCCCAACCCCCCACACCCCATTATTGACCTGGTTTCACTAAAATGGCTAATCTGGATCCAAGTTAGAATATTTTTGCTCATCAATGTCAAGATAACTTACTGCAAAGTTCAACCATGATGTGGTGCACAATTTTGGAAACGAACCCTGCTTTGCATCAATGATTCCACAGACTTCAAAAATGAAACAGAAGGTTGGACAAAAAACTAACCACTGTGTAGTGCTTCCTTATTTATTTTCAGGCTAATATCATCTTATGAATCAGAGTGGAATCATAAGATGGATGCAGCCATCTGGATTCAGCTGCTGCTGTGGCTTTTTCCAAATTTCCAACAACCGCACTTCTACAATATGACCTGAACTATTTTTCCCACACCTGTGTTTCTTCTTGATTTGGCTTATGGGTTTCAGCTCAATGATCCAGAGCCCCACTCCCTCATCCTACCTAAGCTCCCTCTAACTGCTCCTCCTGTGACCTTTCAGAAGTGTTCCTTGGCAGCCTCCATTATGTGCCTTGTGAAGGTGATAATGACTATCATCATGAGTGTGAGGAGGCAGAGGCAGATGGCAGGTACGTATTATAAAATAACGCAAAGAAGCAACGAGAGGAACAAACGTGGTGTAACGGCACAAAGTCGGATAACGGCATGATTGCCTGTCAAATATACCGCACAACATGTTGGGCTTTTAAATCTTTCAAGGGTTGGGTTGTGTTATGCCAGATATAGCTCATATTTTCTAATTTAACTCAGTGCGACAGAAAATAATTAAACTTGATATCCACAAAATTCCATCTTGGGTGCCTTCATTCAGCTTATTTATATAACATGTCATCAAGATCCCTGGAAATTCAATGCACAAGTGAATTTGGACCTTATTGTAAATTAGATTTTTGGTGAATATTTTATGCAGATCAAATAAAATGTAAACGAAGCTTGATACATCAACAATAAAATGAGTCTAATAATCCAACCAGTTATTCATCGAATGTTGAACTGACACTGTAATGTCTGTTCACACAGAGGACTCTTATAGTGTGCTTGGAGCATATTTCTAAAACTGATTGATCACTGATCAATCAAAAAATAAGAGCTATACTCTGTAGAAGGTCAAATATAGCAACGTATTAGGTTGTGTTTAAAGATCTAAAGGGATTTTTACCTATTGGAAAATATGTCTTCATGACTCTGTGTTGATACAAGATGCAATTTGACATACAGTCTTACAGAACTTTTCTTCCTGAACCATCTGTACATCGACACATTGAAGACAAACACTAATCATTAACCACAGCATCCGAAAAAATGTAAAAGGTGTTAAACAGCACTGTTGATTACTGATGCACAACATAGCCAAGTGAACAACAGCATCAGGAGATTTTAGTGATCGTTTTTTTACATATTAATATTGTTCCTTTAGGTAAAACTGGGCTAATATCAATAACTGAACTCTAGTTCAGTATTGTTGCTGTTTGTGTATGTTTCAGTAGTACAGAAGGTTTGTCATCTGGTATTTTTTTTGGGAATGCATGTCAGAGAAACTATTTTAGATTTACATTTTAGTCATATCAGCTATTTTCTGGGGAACATATCCTATCTATACATGACTGAGATCTAATGTTGATTCAGTCGATAGTTATTCACAGTCGTGACATGTTTAAATGTAAAATTTCTTCAATAAAAGTAAGACGAACTTGAAGCAAGCCTAAAGCAAATTAGGATTTCTTAACACCAGTTGGTAAAAACGAAGGCAGGTGGTTAATGTGCTCCTCTGCACATTTTATATTGAGGTGTTTTTGTGTTTGAGCCACATGCCATTGATCACATCCCATTGATCATATGCCAGATGTTACCCACCTTGGGAAATGTTTGTGCTTACTTTGAAAAGTGAAGATGATAATAACAGATAATGTTCTTGTCATTCAACCTGTGAAGTCGTCTGTCAGCGGTAAAAAATGGTCAAACTAATATCTTTACATCAGGTGTATTAGGACTGAATATGAATACTAAATATGATCTTAAGCAACATGATTCTTGGTTGGAATTTTTTTAAAAATACTTTTATCACAGTTTAACTAAATCTGTTTAGTAGATTAGAAAAAGGCCCTTAAACTATTGTTTAAAATCTCCAGAAATAAAATGGCTGCAAATTATTAGTTTTTATCAGTGTGTTCTTTTTTTTTTCATTCCACGGGAGCGGCCTGCAAAGCACATGTGACCGACAGTCTTCAGAGTAAAACGCAGAATTACCTTTAGCTCAACCTCGAATCAATACCTGCCTCTGAAACACAATCTCCCCACAAAAAGCAATTAAGCAGCGACAAATCAAAGAGTGTACATTCTGTGATCCACCTCGCCACCGAAGACCACAGCGAGGGGTCAAACCCTCAACGGCATGAAAGATTAAATGTATCAATAATACATCCCGGCTGAATGATTCAGTGAGGGCACCTAAATGAGGCATCAGTGACTTGTCACATTGGGAACAGGTGTGCTGCCATGCAGGCTCCTGTAGCTGCAGCAGAGGGGGGTGGGATGGGATATTTGGCATGTCAGATGAACAGGTGTTGTGTATAATTCATCCTGCTTCCATATTTCATGTACAGGAGCTGGCGAGTGGGGTTGAAATTCTGCTGGGAGGACTTTTTTTTTTCTTCTCCCCAACATCCTGCCTTTAGTGTGAACATATTCAGAAAGTGAAGCCAGATTTTCTGAAATATGGGAATTTTTTTTTTTATAGGGAATATTTTCATGAATAATTTTCAGTACTTCATCAAGCTTGTTCACAGTTTATTAATTATCGGGATGAGTTATGCAGGGATTCAAATACTCCAAACTAGAATTTGCTTTTAGAATAAAAATATATTCCTCTTAATCAGCTCCTTCTCATCGGAAGTCCAGATGTCAAAAAAAAAAAAAAAAGAAGAAAGAAGATGAGCCAATACTTGTGCCTATTTTCCAATCTTGATACTATTACAAATGCAAAATGTGAGACTTTCACTGGCAACGACTATTGTACAATAAAACTGAACTAAGAGAGACAAAAACCTTGTCATGTTTAAATTATTGTGGGTTCTATTACAAATTCAATTCAACAGCACTACTTGGGGGAATAAGTACAAAATTCTCCTTCATTCCACATAATGGCCAATGTCTCATTTAACAGAAATAGTGACGCTCGTTGATCTGTCACTCAGACGCCTAGGAGGAATTTGGCGTCATTATTGTTTCAACTCGGGCCGTAATTCATGTGTCGAACAGCTCGCATCGAGTCTTCTCCTTCCGCGAATTGTCAGCAGGTTTTCAGCTGAGGTCTGGCTTTGCAGCAGACAGAATTCAGTAATGAAACCGCCGTCGCATGTATTTTTCATTGGGATGTCAGAGGAAGCTTAAAGTGGGATTTTGAGTTTAAGTGAGGAGTGCCGGGATGGAACAGGACACCAGACAAAATAGAAATTGATAGAGTACAAGGAAGTAATCCAATTTTAAAACTTTTCTAAACGAAGGGAACAATGGCACAGCATAACTCTGCAGTTTGGAAACAAAGTGGTAAAGCCGGTTGTCTCTGATAATTTTATTCCTCAATGTTATGACAGAATGAAAGAGTCAGGCAAGAGAACACTGCAACATGAATCGGCAAAATTCAAAAATATTTCTTCTGAAATTTTATTAAAATATTTAACCTAAAAGACAAATTCATGTGTGATGACTAAATACATTGGTACAAAATGGGTTATAGTATGGGGTGGAAGTATGTCAGAATGAAATGGCAGGCGTTGATTTTGCACAAATTGGTGGGACCATATATACTATACAGTAAAGCAAATTCCCAGCAAAGAACTGGCACTAGTGTTGCATCAGCTTTTCAGTAGTATGTCCAAAACTTTCACTGGTTGAAACCGAAACATTTCCTAAATGAGGTCTGACTTTCAGATGCCACTTTAAATGGGTTTGACGGAAAACCACATAGGCAGGAAACTATTTACACATTAATTACAAAAAACCTCCTGCGTTCATCTCGTAGGTGTAATTGGTTTTACCGGTCAACTATGAGCTGTGAACCATTTCTATGAGTAGAACATTTTAATTTTCTCAAGAACAGATGAGAAGGAACTGCTTCATATTTTCTGCTGACAATATTTTTGGTTCATCGAATTAAATCGGCAGCAAACGGGATGAGGTTGGATATGGTGACTGCTGTAATTGACTGAAACATTTTAATTTCAAATTTTAGGGAAATCTATACGTTACCCCATTTCAAGTAGATAATGGGGTACAGAAATATAAATTGATAATTCATTAAATCTTGACAAGGGTAACTAGGATATCAAGAAAATGGAATTGCACTTACTCAGATCCACTGATTTCAATCATTATTATATTATAACCAAGCACAAAAAGCTTTTTCTTTTTTTCTTTTTTTGCTTTAATTTAATGGTTACAATA